TAAAAAGTAAATGTGCTTCGCTAGAACCAATAATTACTCAGGATGAAAAGATACACAATATAATGCTAATCACGTGTAATACAGACCATTGTATGAGAAGTGTGTATGTGAGCACACACAGCAATGGGCTAAGTGTGACAATGGGGTAACATTTGATTCCTCTATAGTGAGTAGAGCAGAATATTTAATTGATTTCAGGTATGAGGTGGTTAAGGGGACCTGGCCCTGAGCCGGCCGGTAGTGTGGGGGTTCTTGACTTCATGCAGGAAAAATTTCACAGCACCAGTCCAGGGGAATTTTAGAGGACACTTTATTAAAGCTGGGGACAGGGAAACAAGGAGGGGCCTAGATAACAGAAGAGGGACTAGGTAAGGAGATGAGCCCGGGCTGGCTGCTTTGGCTCACTAAGAAGGCAGAGAAAACGGGGCCTTGGGGACAGGTTCAGGGGTCTGTCTCTGCCCACGGCTGCCCTGGTTGCAAGTCTCACCGGGTCTCTCAGCATTTAGGAGCTGCAAGCCTTTTGGGAAAGGAGAGGGGAGGGGTGGAGGAGGGGAAGTGTTTTAAAGACTGGGAGTTAAGGGTAGGATCTCAACAGAATATTCATTAGTTTTATGCTGATGTGCCAAAAGGAAAGAGTTATTCCCTTAACTCCGTCCTTGGGTGTGGGTGGCAAATAGCACTCACTGGGTTTCTGCTGTCTGTCTCCCCGCCTAGGGTGATTTAAGCTATTTACCTCTGGTTGGGAAGATGTGCAGGCTGTTTACGCTTAAGTGTCCCTGGTTTAGGGAAGATGGGATTTACTAGGTGGCTGTTTAACTCTGTCTCACTTTCCCTATTCCACTTGCCAGTGAATTTTCCTAGCTTCTTGCCTGCCTCATGGTTACTCACCGCTCCCAGCCCCTGCCAGCCTACACGCGAATACCCAAGAGCAGGAATTTTCCATTAAGTAAATTTGAAAAACTTAACATTTTCTGATTGAAAACTTCTTTAATCCTCACCTGAGGATATTTTTTCCATTGCTCTTCCGGGGGCGGAGAGAGAGGGAGAGGGAGAGGGAAACAGTGTGAGAGCGACACGTGGATTGGTCACTCCTGCGTGTGCCCCGACTGGGGCTGGCAGGGATCGAGCCTTCAACCGAGGCACGTGCCCTTGACCAGAACTGAACCTGGGACCCTTCAGGCCGACGGCTGGCGTTCTAGTCACTGAGCAAAACCGGCCAGGGCTGATTGAAAATGTTTAAAAGCCATCTTAACTAGGCTTCTGCAAAATACCTAACATTGGCCTCGCTACAAGCACTCAGAGATAAGTGTTAAAATAGAAATACAGCAAAGTCACGGGGAACCAACTTAGATGATTTTATTTATTGAATACTTATTTGCTGTTTCTCCCACTTAATTCACTGCTATCATTCTAACCTCGGCAAGATTGCCCGGCAACAAATACATAGTCATGCACAGGCAGGTGCTTGTAACTAGGTATCATTAAAGATGAGGAGGGTGTGAGTTGATCCTAATGGGGCTGATTTAGTGGAAAGGAGATCCTCAGGAACGCACAGATGCTGTAATCAGATAAAGCCAAAATCCCCCTGCGCTGCTGAGGTGAGGCGTAAAGTGACGCTTCTCAGCTGAAATGAAATAATAGTTGAGGGCTCAGGCTCTTTGGAACCCGCTGGACTCGAGTTACAGCTCAGCGAGCAGCGGGCCGCCGAGCGGAGCGCTGTGTGACAGCCTTGGGTCCGCCGTGGCTGCGTCCCCGTAAGATTTTGGTCAAGGAGGCACAGCTTCCTCAGTCATTAAATGGGTTAAGAATACTGGCCCTGCCCTCTTTTTTAATATATTTTTATTGATTTCAGAGAGTGGAAGGGAGACGGGCGTGGGGGAGTGGGGAAGAGGGGGGCGCTCGGGAGAGAGAGAAAGAGAGATGATGAGTCGTTGATCGGCTGCCTCTTGCTGGCCCCCCCACTGGGGATCGAGCCCACAACCCGGGCATGTGCCCTGATAGACTCGAACCACAATCTCCTGGATCCTAGGTCGATGCTCAACCACTGAGCCACGCCTGCCTGGCTGGCCCTTCCGTCTTTACAGAACTGTTGTAATTATCCAGTACAATTAAATTTATTTATCTTTATCCTGTAGTGATCTATTATAAGCAACATGTCATTACAATCAACCCTGAGAGCCAGACTGGCCCCTTGGCAGACACGGAGATGGGCCATTTGCACCTCCCTTGAAAGAAGAACTGGCTGATCGCCAGGTTCTGACAGCCTCCAGCTGCAGTGCCTTCTGGATGTCCAGTGGCATCTGAAGGTCATGTTCTTCCTGGACAGCCCTTGGCACTGAGCAGCAGGGGTGTGCACCGACACCCGGCCCCTTTGCCCAGGATGGGACCCTGCTCTGTGGGCAGCCTTTGCTCTGGGTCCTACCGGTGGGCTGGCTGCGCCTCTCCCAGTGCTTCGTCTCAGTCCGATGCTCCCCCTACTCATCCCCCCCTTCCCCCCACACGGTCAGACCTGTGTCAGCCTGAGGGCTCCCCCTGCCTTCTGTCCCTTCTCCCCTTTATCTTTCACAGGTATTTCTTCCAATGAGTGTCTGCACTTCTAACTCCTGTCTTGGCATCTGAGTTCCAAAAGGCCCAACTAACCTGGCCCCTCACATCCCAGTCATCTAAGGAAACAAGATACTGGCAGGGGCTATTTCTTTTCAGAGATCTTCCACATGTAGAAGTATTGTGGGCTTTTTATTTTAAGATGGTCGATTTCTGCTTCTCTTTCCTCAGAGCATCGTATCGTGCATTTACGAGTAAGAGGTGATGAATCATTTTTTAAAAACCATAAACCTCCTAAAAATGCTAGACACCACCCGATGTCCATCTATTTTAGCAAGAATGACGCTTGAGGAGGCTCAGGAACATTTGAGAACACAGCATGGAATGGCATGGCCTCAGTGAATAAGTGAATCAGAGTCTCAGTAAAGTCTCCCAATAGCTTTTTATTTTTTAAATTTTTGTTGCTGAGAGTATTACAGATGTCTGTCATTTCCCCCCCTCTGCCCGGCTCCCGCCCCCCCAGGCCTTCATCGGACTATCGTCTGTGTCCAGGGGCTATGAGCATACATTCTTTGGTTAATCTCTTCTCATCCCCCCTCCCCTCTGAGATCTGTCAGTCTGTTCCATGCTTCAATGTCTCTGGATCTATTTTGTCAGTTTATTTTGTTCATTAGGTTCCACATATAAGTGAGATCATTTGATATTTTTCTCCTATTTCACTTCGCATCGTGGTCTCTAGGTCTATGCTGTTGCGAAGGATACAAGATCCTTCTTCACAGCTGCATAGTATTCCACGGTGTAAATGCCCCACAGCTTTTTATCCACTCAGCTACTGATGGGCCCTGGGGCTGCTTCCAGATCTTAGCTATTGTAAATAATGCTGCTGTGAACAATCGATTTTTAGAGTGAGGGGTAGATTCTTCCTGCCCTCGAGCCTGTGGTCTCTTCGTGGAGTCCATTTCCACGCTGGCCTGGGTTTGCTGAAGCCCAGCTGAGCGTGACCAGCCACCATACTGCCTTGAGCTCCAATTAGTCTGCTCCTTAGTAGCCGGGCTCCAAGTTAAACACTCTTCTCTTGGTTCACATGTCATCCTGTGCAGGACACTCTACGACAGGCTCCGGTGGGTATTGAGTTCCAGCTTCACGAGGAGCTCCTTTATCAAACGCTCCTGAGCTCCTGATCTAGCCTGGAGGCCTTACCTCACACTGACCTTGTGAAAGGAGAGCCTGTGCCCCTGTTCCATTGGTTGGTAAATGTAAGAGCTCCTCTCAGTGCACATTGTCTGCTTTTTGAACAAGAGATAACCTTGGCATTGTGTGTATTATTTCCTTGGCATCTCTTGCCGTTTAATTCTATTCTGAAACTACAATTACATAAATTCTCTACAAATTTCACATATAGTCTCTCATAATGTTTGAAGTCATTCTGTACTATTAATTTCAGCTGAAACTTTTTTTAAAAATTCTCTACATGAGTTTATTTATATATTTTAAGGTAGGTAACCCTGTACTTCCAAATTGTTTCTCTTTCTGTAAAATTTCATAGTGTGGGGAATAAATATGCCTTGGAAGATGTGCTTGGAGGGAGCCAGGCAAAAGTGGATAAAAATCTGGGCGCTCACATCAAGCCCGCTTCCTCGTCTGTACTGAGAAACGAATAAAGTTACACCCTCCTAGCCTTGGGCGGGACGTGTGCACTGTTCCCGCAATGTCACGCTAACCCGAGGACTGCTCTTCCTTTGAATGCGAGTCCACGGCTGGAGTGTTGAAAATAATTTTATTTTCACTCAGGCTTAAGCTTACTCCCTCACTACGAATCTGCTAATTCCATGAGTCTCACAGCGACTCTAAACAGTATGCTGGAGACTGGCCATTTCGCACCACAGTGAAGGCATTTCTGATTTCTGTCTTTCAAATAATGTCCACAAGTGTTCTTGTTCTCCTACCATCTTCTCTATAATTGAATTTCCAGGATTGCAAATAAAATAGAGCTAACATTCACCAACACCAACACCTTTGGCATAAGCAATCACGAAAACCTTGTAAAGTCACAAGTCCAAACATCTCTGAAATAAAGGCCGCACCAGGTCCTAGAAACATCATAGATTTGGGGATCTCACCCAGGCCAGCCATGTGCCAGCTGCAAACGTTTAAGCAATAGTTTCTAGTAAGCTCTGTTGCTCATCGGTAGCACAGTGAACCACCTTTATAGTTCTTTCTTTAGAAGGTATTTTTTAAAAGCTAGGTGTGATTTTTGTATCTTCTACCTATTTCTCATGTGGTTTGAGCTTTCAAAACCATGATTGAGTTTCCAATTTCCATTATACCTAGAGTGTTTTTCTTTTCTACAAAGTCGAAGACGTAATCCCTTAAAGCCACAGGATAATCATCTTTGGAAATACGTGAAAAATAATGGAGGCGTTGGATCCAGGGAACAGGAGGGAAAACAGGCCGGGCTACCGCGGCGAGAAGAGCCTGCCGAGAGGCAGCGGCCGAGTCAGGTAGCATTGCTCCCTGTGCGTCCCGGTTCTGTCCTTCCCGTCGATGAGCACAATGGGGAAGTACTTGTAGTGTTCGATGATGTCTTCCACCGAATCAAACTTCTGAAACAGACCAGAAAGGGAATGGAAATTGACATTTCCTTCCTGCTTGTAGGTACAAGTACAGATGTGAAGTTTTACTTGGAAAACAGAGCTGGCTAACATTTTGGGGGGCTTGTAAAGGTGAGTCTGACACTCATTTTAAGAAAATGGGTGTGGCAGTCAAGCCCTTGAAGGGGGAGTGGTAAGGTAACAAGGGAGACCACAGGTGACTAAGGCAGCTGAGCTTCCCACGCCGGTGGGCACCTGCGTCTGACCACCGGGTCAAGCGTCACTGTTCCCACAGGTCCCTAAGGTGAGCACCGGAGACAAGTTAGGTGGTTACACAGCAGCCAGCCCCGGGGATTGCGAGGTGCCTCCCTTACCTGTGACAAACCAAAATGTAGACAAGACATGGCCTTCACTCAGTGAACTGGTGGAAAAGGCCTGCGGTGACCTCGCCCCGCTGCAGACCCCTCTCGTTCTAGCGAATTCTGAGCTCTGGTGCAGTCAGAACGACCGCGGTGGCCACGGGGCGCTGGTAGCCCTCAGCCAAGGTGGCTCCCTTCCCTGGGCTGCTGTGAAACCAACAGCCGATCTTTTCACTTTTATGTTTCTAGAGATATGGAGACTTGGTGGGAAGTAAGACAATTTCATTCAAGTTGAGGGGAATCGGGAAGTGCTTTGTCAAAGAGACGGACTTGAGACGGGCGGTTCCTTCTGGGCGATTCCAGATACGTGGACAGGGAGGGTTGAGGATAGTACAGCGGAGGAAAAGGCAGGCCGGGTTGGGAGCACGATTCTGAGCTGGGAGGGGACCCCGGGAGGGGACCCCGGGAGGATCGGGAAGGGCTCCGCCACCTGCCTTCTGCCTTGAACACATCGATCTTCCTCGGCTACCTCGTGAGGTGAGCAGTGACTCCCTGGAGGAGCCAAGGACACTGCAGCTCGGAGGAGTGGGTTGACTTGCTCAGAGGTCGTGCGGCTGCAGGGCCAGGGCCAGGGATGGAACCTGGTTTTTCTGGACACCTGTCAGTTCTTTCCTGATACAACTTTGCCTGTGGCTGTGACCCTGGCATCCCAACAGACCAGGATAGAAATGACAGCCCGAAGGAAGGGCGTCACAGTGGGGACATCTGATTCTGCTGTAGTTCTGTCTGCTCCTCCCAGTTCTGTCTGCACAGAAATGTTCACAGGCCTTAGGGAATGAGATTAGCTAGGTCCCTGTCCTCAGGAGGTGGCTTCCTGGTGGTGGCAAAACTGGTTGACAATTGTAGGGGTAACGCTTTGCAGGTAGGAATGGCAGGTGCCTGGCTGGCTGGCCGGGTTGGTGTTCTACCGATTGCTAAATATTTCCAGTCTCGCCCCCTGCCTGAGTGCCTGCATAGGTGGGCACAGGTTCGCAGGTATCTCTGGGGTGGCAGGGACTCGACTCTGCTGTGTCCCCAGATGGAGCACTGGCTCTCGCGTAGTGTAGGCATAAAATTAGTACTTGGCCGGTAACTGAGCAAATGGGTGTTGGAAGATGTGTGAGAGGAGAAAATGCCTTAATCACAGCAAAAGGGGCTTCTTCAAATAGGCATCGGAGGCCTTCAGGGGTCCTGGCTGACTGTTGGAGCAGCTCTGGAGGCTGAGGCTCTAACCTGAGCTGTCAGATGAGGACTGGGACCTGCTGAGCAGCCCGGAGCCCCTGGCTGGCCGATGGACGTTTTCACAGACATCCCCATGTGTCCGTTTCCCCCCTCTTATTAGCAGCCCAGGGTATGGCTTGTTGGGGGAAAAGCTATAACCTCGTCAGGTCTCAGTTTCCTCACTGAGAGGTTCGATATTGGGTCCTTTCCAGAGGCTTTTGAGGACCACACAAGAGAGCAAATGAAACAGCCCCTCACAGAGGGCTCTGTGGCACATCAGGGCCCGATTTCCCCTTTCTGTGCTCTCCAAGGAAAAGGAGTCCTTAATCCTAAGCATTTAAAAATCATTGAATATTTTAAATGAGAGAAATTTTATGAGCTGAAAGAAGGTCCAGCTGGAAAGTCCATTGACCATGGATCTAGTTTGGGGAACTAATTCCTAGTTGTCACAATGACTCAGTCACAGTAATGAAAATAGAGTAACGTTTATCGGGGCTCGATATGTCCCGGCAGTGCTGAGCGGCTTCCACTTCTTAACTCACTCATCCTCAGCACAAAAGGAAAAACTGGCCACTTAAGTTTTGACGGAACGCTGTCTTGATCTGGCTGCATTTGGCGGATTTATGTATTAATCTACTTGATCATTTGGGCTCTCATTTATGCCAAAACCTTCCTGAGCTGTAGCAAAGGCTGGTGGCCTGGCCGGTGCTGACTCTCAGACGAGGGCCATGGGTCAGACACTGGGTCCAAGCTGGAACCCTCAGGCGGCTGTGGGTAGGATTCCTACCTGGCGCGTTCCGGCAGCCCTGGCAACATTCCTAATTTTGCTGTCTGTTGATGGATGAAGATATTTGGTGGAAGTTCTGGTTTATCACTGTGCGAGGCTGCTCGGGCCTCCATAACAAAGTGCCACAGGTGGGGAGGGATGGGGGGCTAAACAACAGAAATGTGTCTTCTCAAGTTCTGGAGGCTGGAAGTCCCAGGTCCAGGTGTGTCAGGGCTGGTTTCTCCCGGGGCCTCTCTCCTTGTGTCCTTATATGGTCTTCCCACTGTGTGTGTCTGTCCTAATCTCTTCTCGTAAGGACAACAGTCATATTGGATCAGGACCTGCCTTAATGACCTCATTTTACTTTAATCACCTCTTTGAAAACCATATTTCCAAATACTGAGGTACTGGGGAGTTACTTAAGCACTTCAANTCTTGTGTCCTCACATGGTCTTCCCACTGTGTGTGTCTGTCCTAATCTCTTCTCGTAAGGACAACAGTCATATTGGATCAGGACCTGCCTTAATGACCTCATTTTACTTTAATCACCTCTTTGAAAACCATATTTCCAAATACTGAGGTACTGGGGAGTTACTTAAGCACTTCAACATATGAATTTGGGGGGGGGGATGCATTTCAATCCATAATATACACCAACCAATAAAATTGAGGTCTGGAGATGCCAAATTGGAATCGCTGGATTACAGAAATGTAGACTTGGAAAGAACATTTATATTTGAGGAAATGGAAGCTGAGGGAAGTGACTGGCCTGAGCTCACACCCTTCGTAAATGGTGACCCAGAAATTGAACCCTAGTCTTTCCCT